CTGCTCAAATCTCAGCAGGCCTTCCCTGACCACACTTTCACTGCAGTTGAACCTTCCCACCTTCTGGATCCTGAGCTCCTTTACCCTGGTTTGCTTTTTCTTTTCTTTTTAAATTGCTTAACACCAACACTCTTCAAGTATATAATTCACTGTTGTATTGACTTTATGCTTGTTGACCACTCTGCCACCTAAAACGTAAGCCTCTTAGGATCTGTATGTTGTTCACTGCTGTATCCTCAGGGCCAAGAACAGAACTTGGCCCATTCATGAATGAATAGAGTCAATCAATCAAAGTTGTAAAGTGGAGAGGAATGTCCTCTAAAGCTCCCCTGGGCACATCAGAGAAATGGAGTTTGAGATATTGAAACATGTCCTAGGGCTTGCCCAGAAATGTATTTTAAGAAGTGATGGGGTCTGCATACATCTGGATGTCCTGCTACAAGGGACTTGTGGCTGAATATCAAACATATCTCAGACCTAGAGGCACCTTTAATACAACCATACTTATTGCTGATCAAATGGAAACTGGCAAAACACCAGAAGCAGCTTATTACCAATATTCATCTGGCTCACTCCATGTCTGCTGTGCTGTTCGTACCTTCATAGCTGAGTAAACTGCCCTGGTTCTTGACTTAGCCCTGTGCCCTAACTTTGGATACTGTCCTCACACTCGCAGCAGTCCAGGTCTGCCTTATGAAAATGTCATTTATTGCCTTTTTTGGCCACTCAACTCAAAAGGCTTATTTTTTTTTAAATCAAGTTTTGCTCCATTTCCATTTTTACCATCTGGGTAAAAGAAGTCACCTAGATGAGTTTTCTATTGCTTTGTAACATACTACCGCAAATTTGGTGGCCTAAAATGATACTCACAAAACATCAATTGTCATTAAGGAAATGTAAATCAAAACCATGATGTGATTCTACTTTATACCCACTGGCATAGTTCTAATAAAAAGGACAGATATAGCAAGTGTTGGTGTGGATGTATTCCCACTGTACACTCCTGGTGGGAGCTTAAACCAATGAAGTCACTTTGGAAAACAGTCTGACCCTTCCTCAAAAAGTTGGACACGGAGTTACCATGTGACCCAGCCATTCCACTTCTGGGTATATACCCAAGGGAATTGAAAACATGTGACTACCCAAAAACTTCTCATAAATATTCATAGCAGCTTTATGCATAATAGCCAAAAAGTAGAAACAGCCCAAACCGAATGTCCCTTAACTGATGAATGGAGAAATACAATGTAGTATATCCATACAATGGAATGTTATTCAATCATAAAAAGAATTGAAGCACTGATCCACGCTACAACTTGGATGAACCTTGAAAATGTGCTAAGCAAAAGAATTCAGACACAAAAAGCCACATATTGTACGACACCATTTATGTGAAATATCCAGAATAGGCAAATGCATAGAGACAGAAAGTAGATTACTGATTTCTGGGGCTGGGGGAATGTAGAGTGATTACTTAGTAAGTACGGGCTTTGTTTGAGGGCAGGGGCAATGAAAATGTTCTGGAATTATATAGAAATGAAGGTTGTATAATTTTATCGCTATATTTTTAAAAACACTGAATTGTCCACTTAAAAAAAATGCCCATTTATTAGCTCACATTTCTGTAGGTCAGGAGTCTGGGAGGGCTTGACTGAGTTCTAATTTCAAGGTCTCACAAGACTGAAATCAAGGTGTTGTGGGGTGGGCATGAGACATATTGCAAGAATCTGCTTCCAAACTCATTTACTTTGTAGGTAGATTACTGTCCTTGTGGTCATAGGACTGAGGTCTGTATTCCTCACTGGCTGGCTGTCTCTCAGCACTTTAAGACTACCTGCATTCCTTCTTATATGGCCCTCTCTTTTTCAAACCAGCAGCAGCACGTCGAGTCCTTCTTATGCTCCGAATCTCTCTGACTTTCCCTTCTGCCACCAGCCTAAGAGAGTTCTTTGCTGTTGGTGACTCAAGAGATTAGATTAGACTCCCTCAGATAATCTCCCCTCTCTAAGGTCAACTGTACCATACAACATAGCACAGTCAGGGGAGTATCACATTTACAGGTTCCAGTGAGTGTGGAGTCTTGGGAGCCATTCCTAGAAATTCTGCCGTTACAGCATCTGAGAATTATTTTGGGTAGACTTGCTAACAATTTGATCTCCCGGAAGGAGTAAGCATTCCCAAGCACCTGTTCCATCCACATGCTGGAGGTTCCATGAGTTACTCCTTTGTCTCCATGGTCCCCAGGCCAGTGCTAGCACATAATGCGTGCTTCAGTGAGTGCTCATTGAATATTTGCTAAATTGTTCCTACCCTGTGAGGGGTCATTCATTGTTTACCAGGAAGGCAGACCCATACAAAACCCAGGAAGCTCAAGAGGCTGAAAGCCATAAGAGGGAAGGTAAGTGCACGTGGTGTGAACACGTGGGAGGATGTGACATGGGGAATGGTTTCTTCCAACCAGTTAGATGAAGACAGGTTAGATGAAGACAGGTTTCTTCTGACCAGTTAGGTAAAGAAAGTAGCCCAGTCATTTCTGAGCTTGTGCTCACAATAGGGGTTATCCATAGGTGTTATTCATAGGGGTTATCCATAGGTGCTCACCATAGGGGTTATCCACATGAGATATATGCCAAGCATGTCCCCATTTTTGGAAGGCAACTCTCAAAAAGTGGGGGGAGAAGGTAAATAGGCTCCTGTGAGCAAATGTGCTATTCAAGGGTAAAATAAGTTTAAAATTTAAATGCAAATGATTCCCAGAAAAAAAGAAAAGTGTGGGACAAGCCAGGGGTAGGGGGGATAGTAGCCTGAGAGAACAATATAGAATTATATAAACTCTGCACAGTGTCCTTTGATGCTCGCATTCATTCTTTCAGCAAATATGTACTGAGTGCTAACCATCTACTGAGAGCACTGTGCTAGGCACAAAAGTACAGGGAGAAGCCAGGTAGGAAATGTGGTAGGCAGCCTCTGCGATGGTCCCCAGTCATCCTTGCCTCCTGACACACTGTAATCACTTCCCTCTGAGTATGAGTATCAGCAGAAGTAGTGGGTTGTCACTTCCACGATTAGGTTATAAATAGATGCAACTCTGTTTAGGGTGCACGCTCTCAGTTCACTCACTCTAAGAGAAGTCATTTGCCATGTTGGGAGTCACCCCATGGAGAAGCCCACATGGCAAGGGGCATCAGCTCCAGCCAAAAGCCACGTGAATGAGCTAGACATGGATCCTCCCCTGGTCAAGCCTTGAGATGACTGCAACCCCAGCCAACACCTTCACTGCAGCCTTGTGAGGGACCTGAGCCAGACTGCAGCTAAATTGCTCCTGGATTCCTGACCCATAGAAACTGTGCAACTATAAATGTGTTGTTTTAAGCTGCTAAATTTAAACAGTAATAGATGATTAACATAGGAAAGATTATAAAAGAGATTATAATACTCTCTAATAGTTACAATAAATAATATATAGAGACTATACACCAAAATCGGAGATAGGACAAATGCCTGAAGCTGAACCAAAGAGATGGCTTCTGAAAAGGGAGCAGGAAAGGAAAGGACCCAATGGAGTGAGACTTAGGAAAATACTAATGGCAGCAGAAAAGGATTTCTTGAGTTTTGCTCAGGGTAAGAAATGGAACAAAGAAGGCTTCTGTTGGGGCCGAGGGTAGTAGAGAAGCAGAACTCTCCAGCTTCATCTGCAGCTATTGTCTCCATAGGCTCCATGAGCCTCAAGCTGTTGCATTCCTTTCTCAAATGTGGCCAAAAATGGAATTAGGTTTGGTTGGAGCAGAATGAAGAAGGAGACGTGGGGAGAGATTGTCCTAGAGCTCAGAGCTCTGCCAAGTACATTCTTCTCTTTAGGCCCGAGAAATCCCACCTTGAGTCCTGGGAGCACATGAGGTGAAATGGAAGTTGCTGGTGACCTTTGAGATCTGGGGGATGAGAGGAGGCAGACATTGCCTTCATTTCCAGAAAGAATAAGGTGGATCCCAAGACACACAGACCAGGATGCTGATGTTGATCTGAGGAGAGGGTCTAGAACAGATTCCAAAGGGATGATGGGTGAGCTCCAGGACCCAGCCCAGAGTTCTCTAAACAACTTAGGCCCACCCTTACCTGTTTTCTTGGCTTTTAAACAGCAAAGAATCAACAATCATTATCAAGATAAAGATAAGGCTGTGAAAATGGCATGTCCTGGTTTCATCTGGGCAATTGATACAGCCTTCATAAGTGGAAGAAAAATGTGATCAGGATTGTTTGTAACCATTTGAATAGTTATGGCCAGAGATGACTTAAGGAATATTATCAAGGTATTCCCAGGAGACCCTCAGCCCCTCCTGGATACTACTACTAACAGTTAACATGTATTGTAAATTTCCATGGTACTGATAACTGTTCTAAGCACTTTCCATGGATCTCCTCATTTGAGTCTCAAAATCCTATGAGATATAATCAGCTCCATTTGACAGATAAGGAACATCAGGTGCAGGAAATTTAAGTAACTTGACAAGGTTGCACATTAGGGTATCACAGAGCCAGGACAGGCATCCGGTGATCCAGACTTAATGCCTTTGCTTTAACCATGTGGCCCTATTGCCACAGAGATGTCAATGCCAAAATTCTCCACCTGGAAAGAAGCAATTTGGCTCAGACTGCATGAGCATGAAGCAGGCTCAGATGTGGGGTGTGCATGCATGCAGCTCTATATTAGCATGTGACTATGTGTGCAGTGTGAATGTGCATACGCATGATACGTGTGTGCCGTGTGCTCTGAGTCAGGAGGTTGCCGGGAAAAGCTGAAGGGAGAGGAGTGGAGCACTGAGAACAGTGCCCAGGGTGCTGGGAAGCAACAAGAAGTTGGTCAGTGGGTCAGGCAGCCGGTCACCCGAGCAAAGAGGGTGACAGGTGGGCAGGGCTGTCGGGGGGGACTAGCCGGCTCCCACCTGCTGAGGCTGTCCATCAGCACTAATGCTGGCAGTGCCTGAGGCCAGGACCCCCAGCAGGCCAGCCTCAGAGACACACCCTTCTAGGAGACATCCGTCCCAAGGTGGCAGAGACACCAAGTCCTGGCCCAGACCTAAGCAACCAGGTTCCACCCTGTTCCCTCTTACCCACCCTACGCCAGAGGCTAAAAGCTGCCTTGGCTAGCTCAGACCCTGAGAGCTAAGGGATGTGAAGGGTTCTGGTGGGGACACATGGCCAGTGGCTGTTCTTCCATATTCATCTGTCTTTAATATTCAGATGAAGGGAAGTACATGACCTTGCTAGTGTTTTGGGGTAGGAAAGGCAAGAGGGTCCTCAGAGGTCATCTAAATTACACTTCTTTATTTTTCAGATAAGTAAAACTGTGATTCAAGGAGGCCCTGGGATCACCTGCGAAGATCCTGGGATTCATCAGGGGTCTGGTAAGAGCTAGAAGATTCTAACTGAAGTTTGGCTGCCTGAAGGGGATGGGAGTCTTGCCTGGGTATGTCAGCAGGTGGAGGCTGTGGGTAAGTGTGGTGGGGGAGGAGATGAACCTTGGGGCTTCACAAATCCAGGTAGGGAGGGAGCCAAAGTCTGGCCAGCTGAGCAGGGCACAGCCCGCAAGTGAGAGGCATGGAGAGTGAGGGAGCTGGAGTCCAAGTCATGATCTAGTGGAGGGGCAGGCACAGAGCTGGCAGGTGGTGGCACCAGGGCAGGGCTGGGCGCTGCACGTTCAGCGTTGGAGAATCTGGGATGGGGCTTGTGACTCCCGCGGGCCTGAGGACAGAGATGGAGGCCGGTGGGCAAAGCGGGGAGGATCTGGGGCGGGGCCGTGGGGGTGCTGGCGAGAGACGGGGGTGCGAGCACAGGGTCAGTGGGCGGGGAGGGACTGGAGAGCGCTGGGCCGGGCGAGGAGGTGGGAGCCGCGCTAGAGCGTGGGGAGGGGTCCCGCAGCGGGCGCGCGGCCGCAGGGAGGGGCCGGGCCGGGCCGGGGCCGGGGCCGGGGCCGGGCTGGGGCTGCGGTGAGGGGAGGCGCGTGGCCGGCCGCCCCCAGCTGTGGCGTCGTTCAGGCCCGGCTTAGCGGGGCCGGGGCGAGGGATTAGGGGCAGTGGCCGCACCTGGCGGGGCGGCCGCAGGGCTAATGCTGTGTGACCGCCGCGGCCCCGCCCGACAACTGGCTTCATCCCGCCCTGGAGGGCTGTGGGCTCGTTAGCCCCGCCGGCGTGTGCGCGGGATGCGGCTGCGGGCGGCGAGTGCACGTGTGCCGCGGGGGGCCCTGCGGCTGGCGCTGATGGCCACTGGCTGCGCCCAGCTCCAGGAGGTCCCAGGAGTGAGGCTGCCCCAGGGGCAGCGGGGGCGAGGGGACACTTGATTGTGTGCCCTGTGAGCTCTTGTCACTGTGTGATGGTGTGGTCCCGGGGGTCTAACTGAGGGTGCCTCTCTGATATGACAATCCCTGTTATCACCCTATGTGGACCGTGTGTCACTGTCCAGGACCTTAGCCCATGTTCGGAGTATCTCTGTAACCAGAGTGTCTATGGGACACCTCCATCTTCTGAGTGTGTATAGGGGTATTGAGAAGAGCTTCCACCTTCACTGGGACCTGCTGCTCAAGTTCCTTTTGCAGACACACCTTTGGGGCGCAAGACCCCCTACAAGCTCCTTCCCAGCAGCAATGTCTCAGCCATCCATCCCGCAGGGCCTCAGACCTCTGGTGCTGAGATGGAGACTGTGCCTAAGTTCTGGCACCTGGCTTCCTGCCCTCCTTAAACCGAGGCCTACTCCCTAAGCCCATCCTCATCCCAGGCCTAGCTCAGGGCCCCCAGACATGCTTTAACATGTCCCCTTTCCTACTAAAATAATTGGATCTGAACAAAATTTGTGTTGGAACTGAGACGTTTTATCTAATCTTGTAGATGAGCCCCCAGGCCTTTGCACCTGCTGTTCCTTCTGCCTGGAAGGACACCCACTTCCCTTTCCCTAGAGCTCAGGAGCCACCTCCACTGGGAAGCCTTCCCTGCAGCAACCCACTCCACACCATTCTTCCTTTTCCTTGCAGAACCTTGGATCACACCTGGCTCCGGCTATTCCGATGACATCTCCATCTCCTGGAGATAGTTGCTGCATGAGAACAAAGGCAGGGCCCAGTCGAGGTCTGGAGGCATAAGCAGCAGGGATATGTGCACTGAGCTGAGGCACTGGGCAGGCAGAGCCATCGCCCTTGCCCCTACCATGAACCCCTAGAGAGAGGCTGCTAGAACTTTCATTTCTAAGAGGCAGGAGGGTCTGGCTGCCTCTGCCTCTACTCACTCCCCCATAGACACACAGGCCTTCTCTCCATCCAGGGAGCACATAGCTGCCAAGAGCAGCCCTGCCCCCACACCAGGCTCCCCAGCAGTGAGGAGCTGGGCTGGGCTGTCCTCACCCGCCCTCCTGGCCTCACCCTGGCCCTTTCCTGGCCCTGCCTGGGGATGCCAGGACCCACAGCAGGTGCCCGGACAGGCTTGGGGCTGGAGAGGGGGCTGGGCACAGAAGGCCAGCCTCTGGCCAAGAACAGAGCTCATAGAGAAACAAGTTCCAGAATCCTCTTCGTCCTCCTTTTCCCCACCCACTCTTTACTTTTGTTAATAAATATAGCTACCGTTTACTAAGCACTTATTGTCTTCCTTTGCACAGTATTTGACACTGTATGTGCATTGACTATTTAATCTAAATCAATCCTGAAACATAGGTATTACCATCCTCACCTTTCTGATGAGGCAGTAGAAATTCAGAGAGGCTAAATCCATTGTCCGAGGTCACCTGACTGGTCAGTGGCAGAGCCAAGATTCACACCCCACATCTTTCCATGTCCTTGTCCTCCAGTGCTGACCCCAGGTGCTGTTCTCCTCACCCTAGGTGGTGACTCTCTGTTATACCTCTGCCTCCCACATTAGCATGGGAGCTGTGGGATAGCAAGGACTGTCCTGTCCTCTCAATGGCCCCAGTGAAGGAATGAAGGAATGCTTGAGGAATATTACCTTGGCTGTTAGAGGGCACAGAAGGGTAGTTACACACATGGGCTCAGGAGCCCAAGTGCTGGGGTTCAAATCTCAGCTCTTACTTGCTCTGTGACCTTAGGACACTAGTATTTCTGTCTCAGTTTCCTCATCTATAAAATGGGCTGGATAATAATATGCTGGTATTGAGGAGATTGACTTAGGAAAAGTTCCTGTCCTATAGTAAGTAGTGCATGTGTTAGATATGACTCTTAGTATCTCCCACTACACTAGAATGGGCCCTCTCTCTGCTTGTATCCCCAGCACTCAGCACACAGCTTGCCTATAGTAGGTCCTTCCCTTCCTCATCTATAAAATATGACTAAAAATACCCACCTGCCAAGATTAAGGGGATGTATGTAAAGTGCCTGGCACAGAGCAGACGTTGGCATCAGTAGTAGCACCAGCTGGGGGTGGGCTGTTGGTAGGATAATGGGGTGGGGGTAGAGCCAGGTTGGGCTCTCCTGAATGCCCCATTTTGGGATCCAGAGGCAGAGTCTTCACCCAATGTCCCCCTTTTGCCCGTGTACCATTCAGGCCCTTGTACAGAGGACACACAAGGCCTCACTCAGACGGTGGCCTCTCCACTATGTGGAGAAACCCCCACGCCAGTGGGTACCCTGGGGCTGAAGTGCCTCATCTTCACCTCTTCTAGATCTTCCCCCAAGGGACTGGCAGCTTAGTGCTTTGAGAATGGAGCCAGATGGACAGGAAGGCACCCAGGAGATCATCCCAAGCCAAACTTATTTAGGAGCAGAGTCTTGTCTTCAGATAAATTCTTAGGTGAAACCCTGATATGTAAAGCAGACAGAGGGGCCATTTTGTTGCCATAAATTAATTTAGAAGTTCACGTGGATTACTGTTGTTTCTTATAAAGTATGCTCTACTCACCAGCTACAAAAGAGCCTGGCACACGGTAGGCCCTCGTGAAAGAATTGTTGAATGAATGGTCAATCGGTGGAGGAAAAAATGAGCCTATTTTGGTTAATACAAATCTGTGAAATAAGGGGGTAGGTATGCATGATGATTGGTGGATACTTCTGGTCCAAAATTCTAATCCAACATTTGTGGAATCCCTATAGCACTTCTGAATGGCCCAGGACTCCAGAGAACACAGTTTGAAAATGACAAGTTCTCCTTTTGGTGGATGAGGACACTAAGGCCAAAGGGTCAGAGGCAGAGCCGGGCTAGAAGCCAGGCCTCCCAGTTCCCTCTCCGAGGCCCTCCGAGGCCCCTCCATATGTTGCATTCTAGGGCCCTGGGATGGGGTTCTTCCTGTCCCTTTCACCCTGGCTGGGACAGCCTGTGTGCCAGGGGCCGCCATCTCGCTCAGGCATTTCCCACCAGCCTCTGCCCCAAACCTAAGCCAGGCAGGAGCCAGTTTCCTCCCACTGACTCCAGGATAGGCTCTGTTCCTAATGTTTGTCATCTGGGCAAGGAAGGCCCATGGCCCAACACCCCTCTTGGAACCATGGGGCCCCAAGTGGCAGATATCCCCAGTGAGTGCCAGATTAGTAGAACCTACTTGGTGGGCGAGGAGCAGGGCGGATGAGCACTGCCACTGAGGGTCTGCCCAGGGGTAACACCCAGGAACGCCCCAGAACATGGGCCCCACAGCAGTTGGGGGCATTTATGGGCCTTCCTGTAAACTTCTGAGAGGGTAACTTTATCCTGCTTCTTTCGGCCAAGTATCCTCCTCCAGCAGCTGGTCACAAAGCTGGTTAATCTCCCAGAGTGCTCAGCTTAAAACCCGTGACTCACAGCACAGCCAGTGTGGGGGAGGGGGTGACCGCCTCCAATATGTGGCGCCCAGAGTCAGCTGTTCTGGGGCCTTCTCTGGTTTCTCCAACTGAGTCCTGAGGTTTGGGGCCTTGTCTTCCTTCCTGGAGTCCTGCTTCTCACTGACCCCCACGTACAAGCCGTGAGAGGTCAGGGCCCTGGGAAGAGGGCCAGTTCCAGGCCTTGGCTTTGGCCAAGCCCTCAGGCTATTCCAGAAATGCCCAGCAGGCATTGGCCTTCCGGGGAAGGGGAAGGTTTCAAGTGTAACTCTGGGAGGGGTTGGTCCTGAAATTGGGGTCTCTGCCTCACCTGCCCAGACCTGGAAAAATTCCCTGCAGCCATGACCCTCTCATCGCGGATCTTTAGTCCCTGTCAGCATGTGACATGAAACCTGGGTAGGGTGGCTGAAGTGAGCTAGCAAAAAGTAACACAAATGACAAGGGACCTCTGACTTGAGATCAGCAGAATAAGCACAAGTTGAGTCAGGAAGAAAAGGTGGAGTAGTGTTTTGGCCTTGGAGAGACATGGGTTCAAATCCCAACTCTGCCACCTACTAGCTGAATAGCTTGCCTGAGCCTCTGTTTCCTCCTCTGTAAAACTGGGGTAGTAATAGTACTTACCTTGGCGAGCTAATGTGAGAATCAAAATCTGTTTTCCTGCTTAGTGGGTGGGAGCTATTAATATTATTGCTGTTATTGTCATCATCGTATTGCTCAAAAAGCAGGAGAATCCATTTTCATTTGTCTGGGGACTTATGTTTGTATAGTGGGAGGGAAGCTAATGGTCTGAAAGGATTTCAGTGACTCCTCTCACTTGGCAGGAAATCTATTCTGATGAATATGACTGTGTAAATGATAAGGGAGTATCTGCCAGCCAGTGGCATCATGCTTGTTATGGTTGAAGACCTACCCCAAGAAACAGCTATAGCAGATACATGACGGAGGCTCCCACTGGTACCTCTACTGAGCAAAGCACAAATCATGTGCTAACCCTTGCTCCTGTGGTGCCAGTCATTCTCAATACCTTCTACTCCACCTGAAAAGTCCCATATATATCCAAAGATTCCTGTAGGTAAGGAGGAATGAACCACTTTATAAGTTCCTGTTATGGGCCAGGCACTATATTAAACACATATATTTGACCATATCTAACCCTTGCAGCACCCCTCAGGATGGGTGTACTATTATCTCCATATGGTGGACCAATTACATTAATGAACTTAGTTCTTCACTCCTCCTTGTATTCATACCCTTTGCCTTATGATTTTGCAGCTCTTCATATCTGGAGGCATATTGTGTATTTCTCCACGTCTCAGTTCTGAGTTCAGCCATGTATCTTGTTTTGACCCATGAGATATTAACATATATGAATCAGGCAGAGGTTTGGGAAATGTGTTTCTGCTTGCACTGTTGCACCACTACCATTACCATGAAAACACGCCTAGGCAAGCCTGCTGGAGGTGAGGCCTGTGGAGCACAGCTGAGTCGCCCAGTTCCTCAGCCAAGACCAGCCTGAGCCAGTCAAGTACAGCATGTGAGTGAGCCCAGTAGAGCCTAGGAAAACAGCCCAATCTAAATAGCCAACCTGCAGACTCAGAAACTAAAGGTTTATTATTTGAAGCCATTGGATTTTGGAGAGTGGTTTATTACACATAATTATCATGGTAATAGATAACAGATACATGCCATTAAAAAAATAGACTTTATTTTTCAGCGCAGTTTCAGGTTCACAGTAAAATTGAGCAGAAAGCACAGACAGTTCCCATATACCCCTGCACCTACACATGCACAGCCTCCCCCAGTGTCAACATCCTGCACCAGAGTGGGACATTTGTTATAATCCATAAACCAACATTGATGAAACTACATATCATCATCACCCAGAGTGCACAATTTACGGTAGGGTTTACTCTTTGTGTTGTACATTCTATGGGCTTTGACAAAGCGATAATGACATGTATCCACCATTACAGTATCATACAAAATAGTTTTGCTGCCCTAAAAATTATCTGCACTCTGCTTATTCAACCCTCCATCCCCTCAGCCCCTAGTAACCACTGATCTTTTTATTGTCTCCATAGTTTGGCCTTTTCCAGAATGTCCTCTAGTTGGACTCATGCAGCATGTGGCCTTCATCTTTTTAGGACAAAAGAGAGGGAGATGGAAGGAGGGGCAGCAGGGCAAACCCTTTCACCTCTTCCTCTCTTACTTGGGCATGGACTATAAAATTGCAGCTATAAGTATTGTAGAAGCTTGTGTGTGTGAGACCTGGGCTTAAATATTGGGAATTCACAGAGGCTGATGGGTGTTAGATCTCTCCAACATTCAGTAGGTAGGTCTGATCATTGAGTTTTGGACAGGTAAGACCTAACGGTAGCTGCTGGGTTTGTTTGGTTATTTATTTATTTATTGAGAGGAGAGAGAGAGAGAGGCAGAGAGAGAGAGAGAGTCTTACTCTGTCATCCAGGCTGGAGTGCAGTGGCACTATCACAGCTCACTGCAGCCTCAACCCAGGCTCAAGTCATCCTCCCTCTTCAGCCTTCCAAGTGGATGAGACTACAGGTGCTTACTGCCATGCCCAGTTAATATTTTTATTTTTAGTAAAGATGGGGTCTCACTATGTTTCCAGGCTGTACTCAAACTCAAGCCCAGACTCAAGACCAGGCTGCTCTCAAACTCAAGCTGGATCACCTCAAGCAATCCTCCCACCTTGGCCTCCTGAAATGCTGGGATTCCAGGTGTGAGTCACCATGCCCAGCCAGTAGCTGCTGACTGAGTACTC